AAAATGGAAAAAATTTTCCATTTTCCATGGAAAATATGGCTGATCAAACAGAGCCTTAGATTTATATTCGCAAATAAGAGCCCTTATTTACCTCTTACTTGAAAGAATGCTAGGGGTAAGTAAAAGAGTGTCCTCTGCAATAAAAAAAGGGGTTAAATATTTTCCTTCGGCCGAATTGCTAAAACCCTCCCAGAGCTCCTCGTTTGTCCATTGCCAGCCATCCACCCCCACAATACACCGAACTCACCCTCCGATATGTCCACCACGAATGCTACCGCCTCCGCCGTAAATCCGAACTATGAAGATTTTGTAAAAGTACACGGCGTCCTTTTGGCGGCCTCGGGACTCCCACAATCACTTCATCGGAAGCTATTTCTGAAGCTCATGGCGGATACATTTGACGGCGGGAATTACTTCCAGGTGGAACCAGTGGAGGACGGGAAGCAGAGAAGGCTTGTATTCACCGCCGACTTTATGGGAAAAGAGTCCGATGTCTTTTTAGTAGACCATGCATGGACTTTTCGTCTTTCGGATGCTTATAAGCAGGTATGAACTAGTAGTTTGCTCTTTTTTCAAGAAACATTTGTTTTTCATGTTTGGGGTTTGATGCGTTTTTGGGTTTTATTGATAATAAGAGAATAATGTCGAATTTGTAGTTTTAGCCCCTGTTTTGTTTTATGAAGAAAAGTTTGGTAAAATTTTGAACGTTGATGTTAGATTTTATTTTCCGCTGATTTTATAAATTTAAAAAAGAAGTATACGGTTAGACTGGACTTCTTAAACCATAATGGAACAATGTACTTGGCTCTAAGTGTACATAATGAATAAGGAAACTCTCGAAACAGTGTCGTGTGATTAACACGTCGATACTGTAAAATATGAAATGAATATCCTAACAAAATAGGCTAACATGGCTCTATGAATTTCTCGATACCCTCCCTCAAATGAAAGGTAGATGCTTTGGTTTTAGTTTGGCCTGGAGCTCGTGAAAACTTGAATTGCTGAGGGTTCGGTGACGATCTCTCCTGTTGGGGAACTTTATCACGAACAAAGTGTACATTGATTTCAATGCTTGTAGTACGAGAAAGAAAGACAAGTCAAACAACGTGAGCAACAACTCATTGGCTGTCACACCAAACAACAGGAGCAACAGGAAGCTTAAGACAGTTCATGCAGTAAGGGTCTAATCCACGTAACCTAACTGTGACATTTACTAAGGCTTTATATTTAGATTCTGTAGTGTAGTGGGTTACAACAGTTGATTTCTTTAAGCTCTAGAATATCAAGTTGGAGCTTAAATAAAAATAATGGCTACTAACAGGCGATGATAATTAGCATAATGTGTCCAGTCTGTATTAAAGAAACCTATTAAGTAGTTGACAATGTAGACAAAATGTTGGATCTAGTGATTGTGTGAGTGTATTAACTAAAGTGTGCTTGGGTATATTTGGATTTTTGAATTTAACATTGGTTTATGTTGGATTTTAAGCGCAAAATAATAGAGAAATCAATATAAGTATTTAACGTGGTTCGACGATGTATCTGCGTCCACAAGGAGCGAAGCGGAAATTTTATTCAGTATAAATAATAGGGTTACATCATGAGTAAATTACACAAAACCAGATTTTTAAAGATTCAATTTCAAAAATCAGATTAAAGGTTTAACTTTTAAAAAATCAGACATTTTATTTTAAATATTAAATATTAATTGTACAATTTTCATCACAAACCCTAATAAATTTCATTTTAATTTTCCTTCTCTCTTCTCACTCTCTCTACCTTCTCTCTTCTCCACTCTCCGATCTCCTCGCTCTCCGCCGGCAGTCAGCCTCCACGTAGCAGCCGGCATCCCGTTCCCAACCGCCATCTTCATCACCGGTAGGTAGTGTTGGGGGCACTGGAATCTAAATCTTCCAGGCGCGGCTGTGAAATCATTTCAGCGTTCAGTTCCCAGCCATCGTCTTCATCCTGTTCTCTGATGTTTGGATCTTATTTTTGGTGTTTGGTTGGTGGTGGTTGTGATTTTGGCACAGTGTTTGGTGTTCGGTTTTTACGGCATCCCGTTCCCAAATCTTCGTCTTCATCTCGTGTTTGGTGATGGCGATATCGGTGTTTTGGCTGTTGCTTTTGTTTTGGTGTTGAGTGTGCCGTGGTTCTGGTGGCTGGTTGGTGGGGGGTACAGTGGTGATGGTGACCTCGATGGAGCACCCCACATACACATTTACACCCTATTGTTTTGGCTTTGAATTTATTCTAGAATATTTCTTGGACTATTCGTCCTTTTTACGAACTAATATGCTGGTAAGGAGAACCAAGTGTGCTACGCTTCACGTAGCTGAGCTGATGTTGGAATTGATTGCCTCTTTCTGTATCTGGCCTATCAAATCCATTTTTCAACCAATCACCTGCCGTTCTCTTACTGTGTAACCAATTTTTAGGCTTTCTACTTTTTTTGGTCCTATTGCTCGTTAGCTAATTAAGAAATCTTCATCTTTGGTTCCAATAAGATTGAGGAGGTCCACTTTTGAAGGAAGACGAGCTTGTTGTGTGATTCCATAAAGAGATAATGTGTCAACCTCAGTGTATTCATAAGAAAGCTTGATTTCTTATGTTACTAAAAAACCGTGTTCAGGCTCGTTGAGTTCATTAATGCCTTAGAGATACACTGTTGTTCTTGTGTTGGTGGTGGTATTGGTGGCGTGGAGGTGGCAATGGTGTTGTGGTTTGTTGGTGGTGGTGGCGGCGACGCCGTGATGTCGACAGCAATGTAGTGGTTTTCTTGGGGCTGTTGATGGCGGTGGTTTTTATTGGTGGCGTTGGTGGTGGATCAACGGTTGAGGTGATTTTTTGTTGGTTCGGCAGTGGATCTAGAGATGGGAATGGTGATTTTGTAGTTAAAAATGGTGGTTCGTTGGTGGTTGTGGTGATGAGATGGTGAAAATGGTAGTTTGGTGGTAGTGGTGGCGGTGAGGCTGCATTGCTTTTGGTTGTGCCATGGTGGATTGGGATTGGGTGGGTAGGTGCTGGGATCAATAGTGGTTGTGACCAATTAGTGAGATTGTGACCAATGTGATCGATAATCTGTGACTATTAAATAATATGTGACCTAAAAACTTGAGTTGTAACTTATAAAATTTATAATTTGTGACCAATATATAGATTGTGACTTATAAATTATGACCACGAAATAACGTGTGGCCTAAAATATTGTTAACTTGTGATCGATAATTTGAAAATTTGTGACTCATAAGTTGTGACCTATAATAATTGTGATTTACGATCGATAAATAAATTGTGAGGTATAAATTTTTTATTTGTGATCGTTTAAAAAATTGTGACCTATAAATTTTTTGAATTGTGACCGTAAAATAATTTGTGACATATAAAATTTATGATTTGTGACCAATGAATAATTTGTGACTTATTAATTTGAGAGATTTGTGATCGATGAATAAATTGTGACATATAAATTTTTGATTTGTGACCGATGAACAAATTGTGACGTATAAATTTTTTGAATTGTGACCGTAAAATAATTTGTGACATATAAAAATTATGATTTGTGACCAATTATATGAAATTTGAGACCAAATTATATAGAATTGTGACCTTAATATATTTAATTAATAAAATATATGTTTAATTAATTAATTTATAAATAAAATTTAAAAAAATCTGAAATTTGAAATTTTAAACATAATATTTTAATTTTGAAATTGGTAAAACTAAACCTCTTAGTTAAGAAATCTTCCTTTACGTCATTAGTATTTATACTAGCCCAAGCCCATACAGACTCAGCTCCGTTCTGGAATCGGCCATTTTGATCCATTAAATTTGTGTTCCTCTCTATATAAGGCTCCGGAATCGACCATTTTGATCCAGTAAATTTGTGTTCCTCTCTATATAAGCAACATATACAACAGTTTACCATCGTATACGGAGAGTTTCTTTTGAGTAGTTTCTGGTGTGAGGCATGCTTTAGCATTCTCTATTTGAGTGTTTCGGAGAAATCATGTAATATATTAGGAATGAGGTCATAGTACCCCTTGGAGTTGCAGCGTGCTTCTACGCCCAAGAAGTACTGATTTCTTTCAGACCATATTTGTTATTTGTCTGTTGGACAATGCAGTGAATAGAGGTAGAGTTGTATGAGAAAATTATCAACATAGATTATAGTGAAAACTGCTGATTTTTTTGTGTTGAAGATGAAGAGCGAGTTGTTTGACTTATAGTAAAATGCCGGCTAAGTAAGATGGTTCACAAACTGTCAAACTAGAATTTTGGGGCCTGTTTAAGTCGATACGAGAAAGTTTTTAGACAATGAAACAATTCTTTAGGATTTGCCATAGCTTTCTATTGATGAAATCATTGTTATCATCAAGTTGTAATAAATTCCATCTTTTAGAGATTACAATAAGGAGGATGACTCAACTCATGCAAGGGTTGGTTATTGGGCTGAAGGTCTCAGGAAAATCGATACTAGGAGTTTGTTGGAACCACTTTTCAGACAGTCGCACTTTATAGCATTGAATGGTGCTATCGTAATTGAATTTGAGCCTACAACCCGTTTGTTGCCAGCAACATTTGGTGGTAAAAAATCCCATGTATAGTTTTCGTGAAAGCTCAGTATTCATCTATTTTAATGATTCCATGTAGGATCAGAAGAGCTGGAGAGATTGTGGTTGGTTGACAACTTTTGATTTGAAAATACCTGCTTTGGAACAAGTTACTCTACGGTGACTTGGTGGAATCTGTAGCTGCTGTAATATGGGAGATTGGAGAAGCGTTGATGGTGATAATGGAATTTACTAGGAACAACAAGAGGTTTATAAGTTGAAGGGTGATTTAGACTGAAGTTGATTTAGAGGAAGAACTAGGTTTTGCTGAAGTGTGAGGTTGAGGAAACACTGCTATTGGAAATCTGCTAAAACTACCCAAAGGTTTGTTTGCAAATGTTTAAATGATACAATTTGGAGCACTCGATTGATGAAGGTAACTACAAGAAAACATTTTTGTGTGGAATCCTATTTATTGAAGACAACAATATACGACATAAATGATGAAAATTGTGGACATTATGAATTGTACTATAGTTGAGAAACAAGCATTTTTTGGATCGAAATTGAACTGTTTTCATTATAAAATTTAAGCTGTGGGAAACATGAACAGCTAAATGTTTTCGAAAACATAAAATTAGGTATCCCTTCAAAGACCTTTTGATAAGGTGAGAAATTCGTATGAATTTGGATTGGAAGACTCCTAAGGAAAATGCATCCAATAAAAAATCAGTCTGGGATGCTTGTGCAATAAGAATAATATCTTGTGCCCTTTATATAGGGAAGAAAGCTTCTGTATTCTGCCTTCCCAATCACTCTGCAAGGCTTTAATAGAGATTTTAAGTTGTTTTTCATTGTTCTTTTGAAATTAAACGCAAGGCTTGAGATTCAAGTTCTGAAGATAGGATTCGCGTAGAATGATGTAATCATCACATGAAGTGAATTTTTCAATTTTTTTGAAGCCAAGTGATGGTAGTATTTGAATCCCTC